ATACCTCGAAAATGCGCTCTGTGAATAGGCATTTTGGGAAGGCTGTTTAGTTAATCCAAACACTGTCATATTTTCCTTGCAAAGTAATTAAAACAGCCTTGCTCAATCCAGTCCTTCATGGAAGAGGCTGGACCAGGAGAATTTACAAGTAAAAATTTGTCATTTGTCTCCAGAGACCTTTCCTACTCGGGATGCAGGCAGGCACAGTTCATCTAACTCCAATCAGGACATGTTCTCTCAATATCCACAGGAAAAAAATTCAAAGCTCCACATAATATTGAGTAATGGCAAAATTAGTTAGTCAGCTGCACACAGGAAACCATGTTTTGTTGTGAATAGTGTTGACTTTGTCTGAGCTGAAATAACCCTGAGAGGATCAGCCTGAGTGTATAAAATTAAATACATAGCAGAGATCTTTAACTTAATAGTAATGTTCCTTGTGTTTCTTTCAAGTTCTCTACTGGGAGACCAGTGCTATCCAGTTGTCCTCCTACATATTTAAGCATGACTTTGCTTGCTTTAGAGATGTGATTTAAATATTCACTAAGAATTATGCAAAGAAAAAAACCCTACGTTTGCCAAGCCTTTAGCATAATTCTTAAACTGCCTGTTAAGATGGAATTTAAATCACTAGGGAACACAAGAGTATTGTAGTGACACTCCGATGTGTTTGTAGTACAGAGGAGATGTATTGTTCAAGGCTTTAATGTCTCCTTGCTTAAGATGTTGCTGTGGGTCACCACCCACACCCAAAAAAAAAAGAAAAAATAAAAGAAAGAAAGCTCAGGTCCCAAACCCTCTGCATGCACACAGGTTTCCACATTGCAGTAAAATGCAGTGCCCTAAGCCCTACATCTATAGGGCCGAACTGGTACAGCAGTGGACTTCATCGTATGCAGGTGGCATAGCTTAGACCCTGGAAAGCAGAGCATACCTGATACCTTTCTTGTGCCTTTGCCCATCTGATATCTGATACGTACCTGCGTTGCTGGATATCTGGTTTTGTGTTCTTAGGAGTACTGACTTGGTCCAGGAAGTTTTCAAGTGCTTTCTGAGGCTCAGGATTGGCTCTGTTCTGCATTGGTGGTAGGACCAGCTCAGGGTGTATGAATTTTCTTATACCTGTCTGTGCTGGACACATTTGCAGTCGTGCTTGGTTTGAGTTACATCTCGCAGTGTTATCTTAGGGGCAGGAATGCTGCCTGTTCGCAGGAGCAGCTCGGCCTTTGCTTCCATGGAGAGCCCGGGCCTGCTGTGCTCCCGCTGTTCCCCCATCCTTCAACTTCCCTGCTTTTATTCTTTTTTTTTTTTCTCCTTTTTTGACTCCTTTATGTAGAACCATTATTTTACATTGAAAGGCTGCTGCTGCTCTTTGTGTACCACAAAACATTTAACACCTGACATTTGCAAAACTACTCTAATGGAGTAGTTTTGGTTTTCTTTTCCTCTCTCTCTCTCTCTGTTCTTTTTTCTTTTTTTTTTCTTCCTGCATCTGAAATAGGGAATAGTTATTTCCGTCTGTGTCTCTCTTGGTGAGAAAAGCTTTTCTCATGGTTCAGGCTGGGTGCTGTGCTGCTCTGGTGTCCACGTTTTGCTAACAAATAACATGCAGTGGGAAAGACTAAAGTTCATGGTACGGAGGTGGCATTAGCAGTGGGTCTTTTCTCTCTACGATTCCCCCAAACCATCTGCCATCAACTGATAAGTCAGTGTAACTAGAAAAATGTAAGTAACGGACTTCCTAGTCTCATTGTCTCTATAAACACAGGATCGGTGAAAAAAAAGACAGTACAGCCTTGCCAGGAGGTGTGAGCGTCAGGGGAGTATCCTTCATAAACTCCCATAATAGATGCATAGTGTGTAGAAGAATCACTTTGAGAAAGGCTTGAATGACTAAGAGCAAGTTCTTTATAAAGGCACATAGGTATTATACCCTGTGAAAGTAGAGACAAGAAACAGTTCTGTGAAATCCACACCTTGTGGCCTTTAGGTCTACTATTTATGACAGCCAGACTGAGCTTTGATTGCCCACCTAGTGCCTAAGCATTCTGTAAATACCCAGCGCGTGCCACGCAATGGCACTGACCCAGGGGGTGCAGTTTTATTGGAGGCTTCATGCCTGCCTTCACATTATTATGCTGCTGTGGCCTTTTGAGCATAACATTTAAAATGAATGGACTCCACACTGGGTAGAATTTAACTATAAACTGTCATTTCTGTTTATGCAAACAGTCACGACTCTTAATGAGAATTGACTCTATTGCTGGTGGAACACGACCGCCTGGCCAGCCAGAAATCACAGCTTTCTGAGCTGAAGTTTTGAAATCCAACCTTTTTGAAAAGGTAGATTAAAGGAGATTGAATTTTGACACATGAATCCAGGTTTTCAGGAGGCCCAAGTGTTTGGCAAATCATGCCCCAAGTGCTTAGCAAATCATGCCAATACACATAGTCCCTATTAAATACACTTTTTATGCATTTCACTCATTGCACAGACCTTCAAGAATCAGCCCCCTGGAGTGCTGATAACACAAGCATTTTCCCATGCAAGTGCATGCCTGAAAATAATTTCATGCAGTCTGAGACTGCAGGATTATAGCACAATGGCTTTGTGCATGAATTTTGCTAACATGGAAGCTAAGTCAACAGAGTCAATTCTCATCATATATTCTGAAGTTCTCAGTACAGTCTAAGGACTGCGGCACGAGAAGTCAAGTGCTCCCCACTTACTGAACACGTGGGGAGAAACTTTTGCCACTGAGGTGCTGTCACTGAGTGCCTGCCTGCTGTGATCCTTCCCTCTGAAGCGACAGATGAGCGAAAGCGGCGGCAAGTCGTTCTGAAGTCAAATTATTTGGGAGATGCAGGGAATAGGAGGGAAGAAAGACCTTAGCACCTTTCCCTGACCCTGTGTACCAGCTTCATGTAACCACCCCTCACACATGCTAATTTGACTGTCATCTCTCATTCCACAGTTCTTTCTTTGTTCACTCCGTGTACTGTGCCACAGATTGCTGAGTCTCGTAATAGCCTCCAACTGCCTTTAGTCATTGTCTTGAAAGCCATCTGCTTACAGGATATGTGATTTTTCAGTTTCAAAAAATCCTCATTATTCCCTGAAGGTTGCTCTTCTGGAGGTATTAGCCTCTGGTAAGATGGTAACAAATCCCCATTGGTCTACTAATGGCATAAATTTTTACCCCTCTTTTATGAATTAGTATTTCTGTGAATACAAGTAATGAGTAAGCCACAGACCGGTGTTAATTTTGCATTAAATATGAAGTGAGTTGGATCTGTTTAAGAATTATTAACAATGATTTCTTTCACAGGTCTTTAGGCCTTCTTATTTTGGCAAGCCAAACTGATAGGCTTCAACAACTGCACATCCAACTCTATTTACTTTGCAAGTGATTAATTCAAGCCTAAAGTACTTGAGTGGGATGGTGGGGAGGAAAGGTCTTCTGTGTGTCTTGTGATCTTGGGATGGGAGCCCCCTTTCTGATCTTGCTCTTGCTCTTCAGGCCCGATTTTCCTCTGGTATAAATCAGTTGTTAGGTTTCACTAACTTGGGTGAAGCTTCATGGCTTTCTCCAAGCTGCTGGTCTAATGCAGGGAATGCCAAACCACAGCTCAGAGCATCACCACCACAGCTTCACCTGGCTTTATCTATCTGGTCTCCATTCAAAGCTCAAAATTGATAGGCAGGTGAGTCCAACCTCAGTTTCAGATTTGTGACAAAACTAGAAACACTGTTTTTGCCACAATTTGATTTTCTATTAGTGAATTTTCACACAGCCACAATTTTAGGCCAGTTGCCTATAAGCTGTGTACTGGCTGAGCTTATTCAGCAAGGTTTTTGTCTTAGGACACATAGGGATACAAGAACAGATGTTTAGTTGCTAATTATTTTGAGCATTCCCCTTGTTTTAAAGTGAGAAAATGAACTTCCCACAAAGTTAGCCTTTCCCTGCCAGGACGCTCTCTGTTACTTTACAGGGTTCATAAGTCAAGACTACCCTTTTAGAAAAGGAGGAAAAATGATTTTGTTGCCCCACTTTTTAAACAACTTATTGGTGCATTTTACCACTAAAAAAATTATCACTGCCATAGCCTGTTCAAAGGGAATATCCTTTAGAAGGGGTGGTCATAATAAGAGTAGATGAATAAATTACTAGCTCATAATATTGCCATGCTGCAATTTAAATGTGGCACTCAGGACATGATAAGAGATTAATTAGTCACAATTTCTAGGCCTTCCCATTCACATATGTTCTAATTACAGTCCATATCCTCCAACACCCTCCCCAAACTCAGGCCCCCAAAGCCCCTCTGATGCTTGGGCACCCTTGGCCAACACAGCCCTGTCCTGCCCAGGCCCCCAGCCCCTCAGCAGCACTGCAGGGGCTCCCTTCACATATGGGATTTGTTAGACTGGAACACGTAGCAATTGCTGAACTCCTACCGTCCAGGGTTTAATTTTGCAAATCTGCTTTTTCGCTGTGCTAACAGCTCAGTCATGTTCTGAGTTATGGGGCATCTCTACTGTTTTTTCGCTAGCAGTCACTTTTCAGCGTAGGGCACTATATTAGGACTTTCAGTTCTTTTCTGGTCATTAAATGGGTTGACCCAAACCCTACTGAAAACAACAGAAGTCATTTCATTAACTTCAGTGGCCTTTGGATCAAGCTGTGTCAAGCTGCACTGGGTGGCTCTAAAATAGACCTATTGAGAATTTTTTCCATCTTTCAGAAAATGTTAACACAAAGAAAAAAAAAAAGATCTTTTGTGAACTCCTTGCTTCAGGAAAAGTACTGGAAAAAAATGATTCCAAGCTGCTGGTATGTCAATATTTTCTAAATGGAAAACAAAATATACTTAGTTTCAAAATAATATATATAGTTAAAATATTTAAAAGATTAAATAGTCCAATACAATACTTGAAGGAACTGAAACAATATATCTGTTTTCCTCATCAGCTTTTCTTATTTTTTTTCTTACAGATTGTTGGGAAACTCAATTTTGACCTTATACATACACACATATATATATGTATATAAAACAGACATCTCAGATTTGCCCATGAATGTGTAATGAGTGCTTGGCATACACTTCTACTTCACAGAATCATCCCTCCAGAACCTCACCACTGAGCCATTTCCCCAGAATGGTATAACTTAATGTGCTAATAAGAGGAACGAGAAAAACAAGGTAGGAAAAATGACTGAGAGCCGTAATTTTAATTCCTAAATCTCTAACGGTCTGAAGAGAAATTTATCATCCTTATTTCTATCAGGCTTGCCATGCATATCTTTTCTCACTTCTACTTCACATTTTAAATCTTTGAAGTTTGGCATCATTTAAGTGACTCAGTTCTACATTCCTTCTAGAGAAATTATATCTTATCTAAGAAAGAATGACAAATGCTAGATATACTACCCTATGTGAAGTCTAACCATTGCCTTGCAAAGCAATAACACCGCCTGCTTTGATTCACATTGTATTCCCTCAGCTCACCTCCCACCAGCCTGTTTATCTTATTCACTAGCAGCCAAATATAGGGCTGAAAAAGCTTTTGAGATTTGTTTCTGTAACAAGTGCCAAATTTTCTATTCTGATCAGACTGTTGACTGTCTTTTGTTTGTTTGTGCTTCTTTACGCAGTCTTCCTCCTGCTCTCTGGGGCTTATTGTTCTAAATGTTCCCTGATTGTACCACATTTCTCTGTCCATTTATCTGGGCCAAGATACACTACTAATGTAATGAAAAAGGATTTCTTCTCTATAGGAGCTGTTAGAGAAGCTGATGTAAAAAGCTGCAGAGAGGAAACCATTTGCTGTTTACAATAAGAAGAAATTTTATTAGTCAATAAATTCCAGGGACTATACTGCTTTTTAATTTTTTTTTTTTTTTTTTTTTTTTTTTTTTGGTAGCATCTGCTGTCCCCTTATTTTTTAACTAGCAATTTAAAAAATACAAAGCATGTGTAATACCAGAACACGATCCAAAGCCTCTGGGTAATTCAGCAGGTTTTCTGTTGGTCACTCGAAAAGGCGCTGGGAGCTTTCACTGTTACTGACACCGGCTCTTCTTTGCTTACCTACCATTTAGCACCCAGTAATGAACCATGACACACAGTCTCTCTCCTACTGGCAAACATTTTCGTCTGCAGTGCTATCATAATGTTAAATATTACATTAAATACTACACATATGGCTGTCAGCAAACTGTATTCTTTTCTGTCAGGTCAGACGTGCTCATTCCTGAGTGAGGAATACTGGATCTGGATACCTCCTTAGATGCCTTAAAATTTGTATCAGAGAACATCTTGCATTGGGAACAGAGCTCCATTGACTAGGTAGATAAATTACTAGATCACTAACTAATTGTCCTGATTGGTACTGACTGGAATGAAAAGCTCTTTTCTGCTCTGGAAGAGAAATCATTTAATTCTGAGTTTCAAATGCAGCGTGATCCTAATGTGACTGCTAGGAAATGCAATTTCCACCTTTCTGTGGTGGGATTTAATTCTCAGTCCAGGTGAGAACAGGGTTGTTCTCTGGGGTTGTTCTTCGCTCTGAATGTGTTTGAAGGGTTATGTTTTTGTGAACATGACCATGTTTGAATATAAACAAGTTCTGAAATCTCAGTGGTTGCCACAAAAAGGAGCTATTATCCTCTGATCAGCTTTACCCACAACTGCTTTCCACTACATGTTATTTAGATACTTTGGAAGAGATTACTCGGAAAGAGAGGAGGAGAAGACTTAATTGCTATTTTGCATTTTTAATGAATAAATGCCATTTCTGTTCATCTATTTACTTTCACAATGTAGGACAGAGTTCTAATGCCAAGAATGAATTTCATTACAGCAAAGAAAAAGACACTTCATTAATGTGCTAGTTGGCTAATGCCAACTGTGATATCAATAGAGATATTCACTGAATTTCACACACAAAAGTAATGCTACCATGTCAGAAGCAACTGCTTCTCATGGATGCTTCAGTTTCTAGAAGCTGGATACAGGCACATCAAGAGAGATGATTTTTGAAGCAAAAAACCTTGGAATTTTGCACAGTTCTAGTCTCCATTGGTCTAGGTGAGGATGAAAACTAAACTCATGTTTTCTTACAATTACTAGTCATTGTCCACATGAAAGGGATGAGCGGATCATGGATACCTAGTATTAGCTCTGCATTAGGGAGGCCATAACGGGTTCATGTGTGTGCTATATGGACCGGTTTTGCCCATTATTTTTCAGGTAAGTAATGCCACTCAGGTGATGCCATTACATATGAGAAGAGAGACTGCTCAGAGCTTACAGAACATGTACAAACATTGTCATGCATGGGAAAGACAAGAACATGATTAAAACTGCCCAGGAAACATGACAGTAATATTACTTAAAAATTTTTACTACAAGGTGCATTTGCTGTCTGTGGCTCAGCAAGGCATATGAGTGCTGTCTTTAACTGCAGGATTTCCTAAAGTCCACCTGGTTGAAGAATAGTGTTCCTAAATGCTCGGCTGAATCAGGGTCTAGTGCTAAATGCAAGTGTAAACTACTGCTAGCAGAAGCTTTCTATTAACATTTTCATATGGGTTAATGGACAAAACTCAGTACACAGTTAGCTTTCCATGCCATACACCTTGCAATTGCCGAGCACAGGTTGCATTATCTAATCACATTTGTTTCCTTCAGCTGCTTTTCTTTCTGAAGAAAGAACATTTAATTAGAAGCCGAAGCCCGCGGCAGGCTGCAGCTCACCTCATCACGCCACACCAGTCCTTTTTCTCTGAGCAATCACAGCACCCAGATGTCAAACTGTTGCAAACAGTTTGCTAGCTTTAGCATCTGCCTCCAGATTGATCACGCAGGTGTGTCTCAGTCGGTTAGGTGGTTAAAGGGATAATGGACTGTCGGCGCTGCCGGCCCTCCCTGAATGCCAATTCCTTTGGCTTGCATTCCGCAGTAATTTATGCATCTTTACCAGTTGTTCAGGAGCTTTCGCTGCCGTCCATCTCACTTCATTTCAGCTTGCAGCAATAAACAGGAGCTCCAAACTGATCTTGTTCATGACTGCAAAGTGCCTATACTAAAGAATGTGGATTACTTTTTTATTTTTAACTAGATTGCCTGTTTAAACAATCGCAACAACAATTGTCTGCTGCACAGTCGTAAGGGATCGTTTATAATTATGCTGTCAGGCATCTTCCCTTGAATCTGGGCCACAGCAATTTAGTAATCTTTCTAAAATGAATATTTCAGCATTCATAGCTCTGAAGAACATATAGCACAAGAAGAAAAAATGTCCATTTTCCATATTCCCTCCCAACTTCTTTCTGTAGTTTTAGCAATAGGAAGGATGTGAATTAAATGTTAGGTACCAGAATCTGAGATTATTTTCTCTAACCCATCATTATTGCAGAGAGGTAAAAATGACAAAATTATTGCATGTGAGGTAAGAGTTCTGATTTTTATTTTCTCTCTGCATGAAATCAATCTTCTCAGAAAGGACATTTGACCTGAGGGAATAGAGAACTAATATATATCTATATCGATCTATGTATCTATATAAATAAATTTAAATATATGTAATTTTAATTTAATATATAATTTAAATAGAAATATATATATATAAAAATAAGGTGGACATTATATATATTTGTGTGTGTGTGTGTGTGCGTGTGTACACACATACATAAAGGTGGGAGTTAAAAGTCTTAAAAGTGTGAAGTCCTAAAGCATTTAACCAAAAATTTTATGATGTTGCTTCTGTTGCCAGTTTGCTGAAAAAAAAAAAAAAAAAAAAAAAAAAAAAAAGTGAAAGGTAAAGGAAACAATACACTAAGCAGCAGAAAATTCAGGAAAATGACACTTATGTAGTGCTAATCTTTTGCCACATTCTGTAGTGAAGTTACTCCTCGGTGCTTTTATTTTTCCCTCCCAGATGTACGGATAAAAAAAGCTATTCTTAGACAAAGAAAAATATTGTGAGACTACATGTATTTCTGCTTATACTGGATGTACAGATGTGCGTGTGTGTTCAAGGAGCACATTGGCTTAATAATAACAAAGCCTTCGGGGCTTCTAGAATGCAGCGCTTATTTTTTTCTGAGGTTAAACACTTTCTTATCAAGCTGCAGATAATGGTTAATATAGTGTGGTAAGTGCCACCTCATTATACATGCCTGTGATTTCAATTATTAACATGCTAATATTTTCTATTAATTTTTAAATATTCACTGTTTGAATGTAAATTGTTCTATGCTTCTGAGTAGATTTGTTATATTAATTATTGAACCTTTTTTAATATACCAGTATTTCATTGCATGTAGTTCAATCTTCTTGATCACAAAAACAAGGCAAGAATGCTTTAGGTTATACCACCCCTGGACAGAACATCCGCTGTCCACAGACACACACACACACAGAGTCCTGTATGCGTAACACTGATTTTGTGAATAACCACAAAATTTCTAATTCATGTTTATTAGCAATGAACCGGGAACTGACACTAAAATTTGGATGATTTGTGTGTGTTAGGAACAACTGACTGTGTAGAAACACTAAACGTCTCATTGAGAAAAGGACCGAGAGATTGAACTATCTACCTCCTGTGGAAAATAGACATGAAAGCAGATAGGAAAGGTTTTCAGTGCAGTATCCCAGACTGTGCTCTGTTTACTCTTTGGAACTTGGGGTGACAGTGGGAAAAGAGCAGAAACAGCTCACAGATCCTCAAGCTCTGTCACCTCCTCCCCACCGAGTGCATTTGAGTTTGATACTGTGTGAGGAAGTGATTCTAAATATACTTGTGGAATACTCAGGAAATTCATGTGATCTGTCATGACCCTGCATCACATCCAAGTTAGCTGCAGCCTCCTAAGCTGATGGAAAGAAAAGGCACCTTCAGAAGGCAAGTCATCTATTGCAAAGATAAATGGCTGGAGAAGGTGGGCTGCAGGACAAGCTCAGACAGTTGGCTGGGAACAGGCATCTAATTTTTTTAAGGGTTAGATTAGAAAGAGGCAAAAAGAATTCCATGAGAAATGTAATATCCATGAGCATGTGCAAATATTAGTGGAATCAGCACCCTGTAGTGTTCAGTAATGTATTTTCATGTAGTAAGTAATGTATTCAGTAATGTATTTTCATTTCCTTTAGTGCCTCAGTGTGCCCTTTGAGGCTGACTCTGGTGACTGTCCATTGCCTCCTTCACTGCTAATTCCTGTCACCTCTCCCTTCAAAACCACTTTGGTCTTCCCTGCTTCCTGTTTGCATAGTTTCATTTTGTTCTTCTTCGGATTTTACGTACTTCTCTTGTGACGATTAATACCTAGATAATAAACAGTATTTATACAGTTTTGTTGTATAGATCAACTAGAAAATACCTGAATGAAAATTACTTACATATTTGCAATACAATATTAGCTTTTATGAGTGGGAGTCTCTCTATCCCTGCCAGCCTTTCCTTTTACTATAAGCTTGTCTTTTTTCATATGACTAGCTCTTTGGGAGATTTGCACTGTCCTATATTTGTGGCATTTTATATGCTTGGTAGTAGTTGCAGAAGTAGTGAGAATAGTAATAATAATGTGTTATTATAGGATGTTCATTTTATGCTTAGTTAAGTTGGCATTTGTATTTAATATATCTCTGTAAATGAATCTCTGAAAAGCTGCAGTGAGATAATCCTTAAAATAGGAAGTTGCATGTCACAAAAACCAAGTGATAAGGACCATCATCGAATTTTAAGTGAACCCAATGCCAGTCCTTGAAAGTTTTCAGCTTATTGTTGATTCAACTGATGTTTGGAGAAAACCTTGTATTGAGCCTCTTTAATTATACCACAGATGAATTACAATTAGTATGTAAATAGGAACATAAAAGTAGGCTTATCACATGTAGCTATCTGTACTAGCAATCAGGCTTTACAAATCCTTCCCTTTTGAAAGTTCCTGGAGCTACTTGCTTCACATTTTATTTTCTCTTTGACTTTAGCTACCAAACCAACAGGAAAATTCCAAACATCCTGTGGCCTGTTGATAAACGCAGAAACATTCAAAAAAGGCAGTTAATTGTGATTCACTTGCCTAACTAGCAAAACAACACATTGCTGGTTTACTCATATATCCTATCTTTTCCTTTTATATGTGTATTTATATTTGTGTGTGCGCACACACATATATACTTTAGAATGTATGTATATTATATATATATATGTGTGTGTGTAAGCAAGTTATTGCAGCATTAGTTGGAAACAAAGCCTCATTACAGAGAAGATTCTTTAGTCACATGCTGCAGAAATACCATGCCACAACTTCCAGAAATGGTTAGATTGACTGATTCGCATTTTTGCTAGACTTAACTTGCACAGTTTTGTGAGTGTGTCTTAGAATTGGTCAGTAGATAGATTTTTCTTTTTCACAGAACAAGTAAGCGAAAGACCCCCAAAAAGAAAACCCCAAAAGTCAAATTTTTCCTCGAGTAACCACAACCTCTCTGTCTTAAAACAATGAATCCACTTTTCACCTATCTGTAAATTACAATATTCATATGCCACAGAGATCGTGGTATGCACGGTTTGAACCAATGAAGAGAGTAAATGTCATACTTAATTAATAATGCTGACAGGCACTTCCTAATATTGAAAGGCAGACTACATCCGAAAATGGCACATTTTCAGCCCTACCGAGCACTGCCTCTGAAAGTCAAATGAGCAACTTTATCTGATTGTTATTGTTATTAGAGATGCAGTAAAAGCAATGAAAAGCAGAAAATCAAAGTGGGAATATATGCCTCTATGAAGCCTCCTTGCATCTACAAATGGAAAAGCTCTCAAAGAAACAGCATGGGGACAGCTGGGTTATAAAGCAGCTTTACACATTATTTACTTATTTACCTGTGGTAGTGATATGCTGTGCTGAGTGGGTTTGTTTCTGCTCTGAGCTGGTATAAATCAGTCCGGCTCTGAGCCTCAGTATGATTTTTTCTTTCCTTCCCCATTCACAGTACCTGAAATGCAGAGCTAGCTTTGCAGATGAGAATCAGGATTTGCTGAAGGCATTTTCTCTTAGCTTGAAGATATAAGTCTTGCAATGCATTTAACAATAACTAGTGCTTATCTCTCATATTTACATGTTTTTAAAAGTATAATGGACATATTTGAAGTACAACGTATAGAAAAGTTTAAAGAAATAGATTTTTTCAAATATTTTTGAATATATATATATATTTACCTGTCTTTAAAATTTTAGGTAATCCTTGGATGATAAAAGTTTTTATTTTTATGATCAATTTGCTTCAGCTAACCTAGGAAAGCAGAGAAGAAAATAACACATAGCCTGTAATTCTGGAGATGCACAGATGTATGTACGTATTCCCTCATATCTAATGCCAAATCTTAAGTCCAATGAATGAGCCTGAAAAATCCTAATCTAACAGTCTTTTCTAAGCAGCATTACTGTAAAATTGCTGCCTGTAGCCCATCTCCTGCCCCACTGAGCTGGTTATCATTCCTACATTAGGTAAGGATGTAGCCAGGAAATAGCCTGCAGCTACGTCTGGAAGGGCACCCAGTTCACCTGGAGAGGCTGCACTGCATCCTAAGTTCCACACAGGTCTTTGGTAACGAGTGTTTGTCCAGGTGCAAAGCTGAGGAGCCAAGTCCCTTTTCCAGCAAACCTTCATCCAGGTTCTGAAAATTCTGCAGGAACCCATCAGGAGCAGGTAAAGCAGCAGCACTGGCACTGGGTTCAGTGTGGGCAGCAGACCTTGTTCAGACCCCCTCCAAATGGGATCATGATGCTGTCATGCTGCTCTAACAACTGTGCTTATGTCTGCTTTGATGTCCTTCTCATTGCTGTTTGACTAGTGGACATGAGTAGTTGCAGGCTGCACCTTTCCCTTGGAAATGCCCTTGTATGGTGGCATGAAGGGAAAGCCCGACAGGGCACAGTTCTGTGCCAAAGTGTCTGCCCTCTTGTTGCTACTAGATACACAGCAAGTCCTGCTCTGCAAAAGCACAGCATTAAGCAGAGGACTAGCTAACAGTGTTCAACGCTGTTGAACACAGTTGCATTCATAGAACTCTGTACTTGAACTCTGAAGCTGCAAACCTGGTTCCAACCAGAAACCCCATAGATCAGAAGGGCTGAATTTTAGGAACTGTGGAGGAACAATAAGCAATGTTCAAAAATTGGTATATTTTGAAGGAATCTATTAGAAATGCAGATAAAATATTCTCAACATTACCTTTTTATACCAGCACTGCAGCATCTTTCTGCTGCATTAAAAAGACTCGTCATTTTTGTGACAAAATGTAAAGCTAAACTATTGTGCTTCTAATTGCAAAGATGTCAGCAGGCCTGATATGTGTTGGGCTTGAAATATTTATGTGCTGCCAAAGCAATCCAAAAACAAACAGTTTTACAGATAATTATGCCTACTAATTATATGAAAAGACATCCATTTCTCCTCCAGTGATGCTACACATATGGATCTCCTGTTAAGAATAATCAAGTTTACACACACATACATTAAGACAGAGCAACAAGCTCCCCTCATCTTCATCCTTAAAAACTAGACAACTGCTTTTACAGTTCAAGCTGTTATAAAATTAAAGCACTTTTCTGAAATCATAACACTTTCTATAACATATGTGATAAAGCAGTTTGGAAGGAGATGGAAACCTAGAGGGGCTGGAGGAGAGCCAGAACAGTGAAGAACAATGAGTGGACTTGCTGGTCTGTTGATCTTGGATTCTCCCCAAGTCCCATTTTTTTGCTGTGAGCCGCTGCTTTCTTTTCCTTTCTCTCTTTCCTTCTTATAAGACAAGGACAAGAGAATGAGCGCAAGGTGTTGCAGTAGTTTTAAAAGAAGATAAATAGGAATGGGGGGGGAAAAATGTGTTTATTAGTACAGGAAATTGGTTTACAGCTTCATATATTTAAAACAGGCATATCAAATCGCACAGATTATGAATTCCTCTATTAAAAAGATTCAGAAATGGACTACAAATAGATACTCTTTTATTTAAGTGTTTTGGTTCGCCATACATTTAATACATGTGATTTTTTCTGTGACAGGAACCTGAAAACAACAAACAAGGCAAAAGAAAGACATACTACAGAGTACTCTATCAGGCAAATACGTTTCTAGTTCCCTCTTGCTATTTTACGTTTGTTCGATGCGTGTGAGCACTTTTGCCTTTTTAAAAGATAAAAGAGGTAGATGTGACATTTAATGATACTAAGACTGAATACTCCTGTATTTTTGTTTGTTAGTAAACCAGGTAGTTGACAAAATCACAAAAGGAAATCTATGGAGCTGTGTCTGCAAGGTATGGTTGAAGAAGCTGTTTGGAAATGGTTGTTGCAGTGGCTTCTCCACAGAAAGAGTGTCTATTCATCTCAGGTATGTATTTAGACACCTCTCACGTATCTGAGTAATCTACTAACAGTAGTGTATTTATCTTCACTTTACTCCTGTGAAATGGGGAAATTATCTCCATTTTATAGATAGAAACCAAAGAGGAGGAATTATTAATTTAAAAAAAAAAAAGTGTAAAGGAAAAAAAAAAAGAATTGAAGCGTCATCAATCGCAAATAACTTTCTGAGGTTTTAATGGCTTTAGCTAGATGATAGTCTCAACCAAAAGGGCAATCCCTACATTTCTGGGACATAAAGAAAGGTACCTTTTAATAAAATCATAAAAAGATCAGGGCAGCTTTAATCTTATTCTTGTTTCAATCATAAATATTATTTGGCATAGTAAAACACCTCCTCAAAACTCTGTCATAGAAGCTTAACTTTGCAATACAGTTCAAACAAAGCAATTAGCTACTTATTATTTAATGGAGTAATATCAATGGCCTGTGAAAATTATAACGAGATCAGTATTTGTGGTAAGTACAATATATCTGTAACTTCCAGCCAGCAAAAATGGAGATAATGTTCTTTTCCATGATGAAGTATCTTCTACTTCATGACTGCAATCAAGAATATATATTAATACAACATCACTGGGTTTTACAATGCAAATTTAGTCATCTCTACATAGCATATTCAGTGTAAATGTCCTCAAATACATAAAATGAAGCACATTGAACAAAAATATGCACAATTTGTTACACAGAGCATGGAGGGAGTGTTTGCTCAGACAGACTCTGAGCACCATCTGGGAGACAAGTGTTTAGTTTTGCAACAGATTGCATAATTTTCATGTAGAATCTGGAGAAAAGCTCTAAAAGCTTTAATAGATAGTTGATTTAGCATGCGTTTAATCTTTGTTTTGTGTTGTCTTAAAGGCTATGCATATGTTTTGAATGACGGAAGTAGTCATTAACTTATTACAGTGCTCATCCCTTTGCACAATTTGCTTTTTCTTTTCTTCTCATTGTGTCTCTATGCATGCAATATTTCACCTTACAGAGTTCGTTTTCACAGCACATGGTAATTAATCTTAGTAAAAGCCAAGCATCTACTGCATATGCATGCCATTTGATTGATTAGATTAAAAATTTAATGTTACAGTTCATACATTAGCAATATTTCAATATAACATGTACCAAGGACTCTACTATCAATAATAGGAATGCTTCAAGAACAACACAAATTAACACCCGAAGCATAAAGAATGACCTTGAAAACAATGAAATGCTTTACCTAGAACAGTTTGCTTAAAGTATATTTAAACTGAGCACCGTGCTTATGCACTATGAAAAGCTGTAGAAAGCACTGTGTGTTAGAATACAAAAAAAAAAAACCAGATTAAAAAAAAATCTTAACTTGGAGCATTTAGAAAGTGGAGTAATGTTTAGATATTGTGTTTTTATTTTAAGTTTTTTAGTGATATGAAACTAGCATATCTGCTACACAAAAGTAAAATATCTAAACCTTAGGAATTTTCTGATTTTGTTCTTGCACAAGTTAATAAAACCACTGAAAGTCATAAACTGAGGATTCACTTTGTTATGTCCAGATATACACAAAAAAAAGAGATAAAATAAAAACGAGACAATACATACTATACAAAAAGGCACACAGTATTATGTGACATTGTCATGACAAAATCAAATGCTATCCTTTGTCCTGTGATCTGCTGCACTATATCCAAAAGCAAAATGACATCAAAATGCTTCTGAACTGATTGACTTGTATTGCAATACACTGCAGCATCTTTGAACCTTAAGCAATGATAATGCTTTCAAACCTGCTATAAACTGGGTCAGCTGTACGAAGAAATTGTAAAAAATGATGCAGTAATTCAATTTAGCACTGTGTGAGAACTGCACAATAGCTGGATTAAAGGATCTCAGAATGAAGACAAGTGGTTCATTATTAACTCTTTAAATGTTGTTCCTCCTGCTTTTTCTGAAATGTCTCATATACTTCTAGCTTAGGATTGTAATTGCTGTGTCATGATAGACTGAATACATTCTACACTGGCTCTCTGTGAGTACATTGAAATTTCCTCAAAGGCTTAATAATGTTTATAAAATAAAGTGGATTTTATCCATACAGGTAACAAAATAAATTAGGAAAAAAGGCACGATACAACCATCCAAAAGTAATGGTTTGTGTTAAGCATAATCATCTTAAAATCATAGCAACTATTTAAATGGCCAAAGCACCAGAAAAAAAATGTAATGCTAAAGCTGCAAACAAAAAGCACTTGTATGCAGAGGAGGTATGTGCCGTGTACAATGCAATCATTTAAACAGCTGGCCTCCTTTGTAACCAGGTAATTTTATAGACATCATTTCTTTAATGTGTCTAAAGAGGTCTTACTTTACCTTGGGCTATTGTGTGTTGCATGTGCATGTGAACCTGCTTTGGATCAGCATGTGTAACTGCTGCGGCCATCCTTTCAGCGGGACGTCCATCCTCTATCCCGGCAGATCACAATAGCACTCCACGCTGACGGCCGCCCGACTCCAGCGTTCAATTCCGAGCCAACGTTGAAATGAGTAACAACTGAAGAGAAACCAACCTAGAATGATTTGAAGAGTTGGGTAAGTCTAAAGATAAAAAAAAAATAATAATAAAAAAAAAACTGTTCCAGAGGAGCAATTGTACTCATGTGTATGAATCTATAAAAATGCTTCCCTGAATTCTTTATTTTGCGAGCTTAGATGACTTCAATTAAATTCAGTCTGGACATCTAAAAATAATGTTGATAACAGACTGAAGTGGAGTCTTACTTCTGCTACAGAAAACTGCCTTTTTTTCCAAACCATAATATGTTAGATCACACTCTTTTTTTGAAATGCTTTCTTGAATTGGCAGAGGGTTGATACATGGTTCTTTTTGGTACTCAGTAACTGTGCCTAAACTTCTGGACAGCGTGCTGTAAAATGTTACAGGTCTGGCCACAAGTTATGCAGACCAGATAGAGGAGAAAATGAACATTAACAATGCAAAATAAAAGAGCAACTGGACTGATGATCAGCACCAATTTTATTAGGAAGAAGTGACTCAGCTGCAACTTACTGTATGTATGTATTTTGAAGACTGCGCAATGTGTTTTCTCTGCTTTCCTATCTCAAATAGTAGTAGTGATTAAATGAATGATAACTGCCTTTTAAACTTAGGTTACATGAGCTCATCTTATCAACATCTACATGATGTAGCAGGGAAGCTACATGACGTTGTGCGTATTTCTGTGCCATTTCATTGTGCGTATGATCAACAAAAAGATTTAATTATTTGAAGTAAAATTTAACTGGAACCCAACAAAATGAGGAATGGAGGTTAAAAAATAGTTTTCTTTTATGCGTACCTTCCTACCGTAAATGTTTATTTTTCAGCAGTAATACTCCACATTTTAGGGGTATTATCCAGACCTGCCGAAGTCAGTGGAAAAAAATCCCACTGCGCTATAGCTGATCTGTTTGGTGCCAGATCAGAAAAGGAGTGATACATGAGTATTCCCCAGTGAAGTGATGTGCCAATCGAGTGCGCCACAGTCAACGCTTGGCAGTTTCATTGCAAAATGATTGCCAGTTGCCTCTGGTAGGTAGGTGCAGAATGAGCATAAGGCCTTCAGGGTGGAGCAGCATGTGCAGTCAGTCCACAGCTGGTTTATGTGAAAACACTTCTTCATATGGGATGTGATGGCAAAGAAACAGGCTTGCAGAAATGACATCTCTGTGTTAGAGTACCTGATAAATACCTGCCTGTGGATATCGTGAGCAGAGTCTGGAGGAATCACCTGGCCAAGTGATAAAGTGATTAGAAAGGAAAAGAGAAGAAAGTCTCCTATTTTGGTGTGAAGCTGGGAGGGGCATAAGAATAGTTTAGGTGAAAGCAGCATAAATTTAAATGTGCATAGGATTAAAGTGGCAGGTAGCCAAGAATAGATGCGGACTCTTAAATTTGTTTGGTAAGATTAGATGTGCAATTAGAGGATGTAGAATATTTAAGAGCTAATAAACGCTAAGTAGGAGGCAGACCTGTCTGCTGTGACGAGGTAGTCATTTAGGACCACAACAGGTGCCGCTGCAGTAATTAGAAGGTACTGAGAAATCTGATTGGAATTTTTGCATGATAAGAGCATTACCAACTGCTTTTGATATCGGCTGATAGCAACAGTAACGGGCCGGCAACACCTGCTCAGGAATCTTTACCAGGGAGAGGGGGAGATGCTATTCTATGAGTTTATCCTTCAGCATCTTCCCTTTTTTTTTTTTAGACTCTGAAGTCTTTTGTAAACAAATAAACAGCAATGATATTTTAAAAGGTTAGTTGTGCCAGATGTTGCTCAAGCTCTCTTATGAACAGGCAGTGTACACAAATTTCATTCTCCATGTGTGAGCTTCCCTTCTGTATTATGTTTGCCATTGAGTTTTTGGGTTCACCTTGTAAGTTTTCAGAGCACTGTTATTATATCCTCATCTTTTTCACAAGCTCCGGCCAAGCTTTTTTGCTGTCCTGTCTCTCCTCTGGAGTTTCAGCTTGCATGAAACAAGCAAGAAAAAAAGATGATTTGCAGTAGATCGATAGTCCCTTAAGATGTAAACGCATCAGCTCTTGTAAGTGAGGCAAGATATGGCCTGGCCAGTGCTCTAATGTTAGCTCTCTGAGGATATCTTAGGGGATGCAGAAATTGTAATGAGGAATCAAATCTCTCCCGGGCCTGAAGCAACCTCTCTGACTATGTTTGTGTCTCCGTATAACTGGAGGTAGCATTCTGCAAATAAGATGCAAAATGGAAGAATTCAGGAAACTCCCGTGGCAGTTTCGGGGCTGGGCAGGGCTGGGTGTTTGACCCCAGAGATGAGACTGTGCTGTCAGTAGTGATACTCCTCTTAGCTGGTATG